TTAAAATAGTTAGTATTTAAAATTTTGAAATGCTTCGATAGATGGCGCTCCATTTCATTTAGTTTTAAAATTTATTTAAAAACAAAAATTCCTTAAATCATACACGTAATGTAAAAAATGGATAGAATTTAACGATAGATATCAATTTTTTTTTTTTTTTAATTTTTAATTACATTATAATACCGGGATGAAATTACATACTAATAATATTTATTTACTTATTTCGATTAAATCCTATCGAATGTTCAGAAGCTGATTCTGATCAATATATACATCTTAAATTTTCATTGACAAAATTTCTTTAAAAAGAAATGATTGTTAATACTACAAATTTAGTTTAGCAATTTTACAATATCTTTATATAATATGTATATAATGAATATAATACAATCAATTTTTATGTTTATATCCTATATTTCGCTGATTTTGTATGTTAAGAAATTTATTTATCGCTTCAATATAAATACAGACGATATCAACATTTTTTATTTTAATGTACTCGCACTTGATATAACTTTCGGTAAAATCTGCATAAATATTTAGGTATAGAATATTTAGATATAGAATATTAACAAAACTCTTGTGATAATTTCAAAGAGATAATAATTTTTTATTATAAAGTTAATTTATTCTGTCTTTGTAAAGATTGTTCTATATTCTATATTCTATTAATCGAGTGTGCATTATATCGATTACTTTCTTAAAACGCTAATGAATCTCAAACTTTGATTCAAAATTGAATTTTTCACTTTCATTCCATTATGGAATGCAAAGAGTATCAGCTATAACAAGCATACGTAGCCGATCCACTAACATACTTATCTCTTTTTACGTTTTTCCATCATAATTTCTCACAAACATTTTCTCCTGGGATACATTTTTTTTCTCGGACGATGTGTATATACATCAACATATTTATAATATAATATCTCCAAACCTCTGATTTGTGCGGTTGGACTTAATCAATTTGTATATAACAGTAAATTGAGATCTAGGCAGTTGCGTGTTGTTAAAACATTACGTTCATAATTTTTTTATACAACGAATCAAGTATTTCTTTATTTTTCTGTTCTTTCAGTTTATTTATTTAGTTTCGCTCTAATAAGATTTATTGAAACCTGGTTGAAAATTAATTTTCTCATTATTTTTGTAGTTTAATTTTTTTTTTTTTTCTTTTTCATATACATGTTTCACCACAATAAATTTATAGTTTCTCTATCAGAAAAAAGTATCGAATACAGAGTTAAGCAAAATCTTAATGAATTAATTTCAGTTAATGATAATTAATTAATTTGAATAAGCTGCGAGAATTGAAATTTTAAAATATCCTTACTGTATATATTTAAAAAATATGTGAACTCGAACTTACATTCTTAGATTAAAGTTAAACAAATAATATTTCAATTATTTGTCGTTACACCCTTCCTACAACAATAATTTATACATTTTCTTCCTTAATTAAAAAAAATTTATTAGTAGACTACATTATATTCAAATGCATTTTTATAACTTTAAGAGTTAATATTATATGTGTATACAATGTTAGTTTTCTGTTTCAATAAGTTTTAGGAAATTTCGAGTAACTCAGAAATTATATTTGTCCAATGTGATACTTTGCTTTTTGATTAATAATTCGTTTTTAAAATTATAGAAATATTTTGTTGTCTGTTTTTTTTGTTTTACTTTACCACCTTTTTTACTGTAGGATATTAATCAGAAAATCTTACACATTAACTAATTCTTACCAACATGTATGAAAATGTTATTATTATTATTTCCTTTCAAAATTAATAATTAATAAAAGCTGCAGCTTAAATTGATTATTTCATGTAATACATTTCTTTTCCTTATAATACCATATTAACCGGAATAAACGCAAAGTAGGCATAAGAGGATAGAATAAGTAAAAAAAGTGGTTGACTATTCCTTATCGCATTTAGTATTATTTACATTATTTAAGATATTTTCCTTATTATGTGATTAATTTATTCGCACATTCTTACGTTTTCACACATAATTTCGAAATGATTATCTAGCATTTTTCAGATCAAAGATTGAAGTATCGAGTATTAAATAATACTTCATGTTAGTTTTCGTCGATCTACACAATGACCTTGTAAATCCGAGGCTTCGTTCGGTTTCTCTTTGATTATTTGTATATAAATTCATTAAATCATTTACAGATTCTTTCGTATAATAATTATTTAATACATTATAGATACACTACGTGCCTAAAAAAATTATATTTTCAAAAATTTTATTGTTTAAAGAATTAGATATTTAACAATTCATAAATTAAAGTTTCTTTTTATTTCTAATGTAACTTTCAAATTTTTAAATACAACTTGTACTGTTTCTCTATTTGATTGTTACTAATATTTCATGTAATTTATGATAAATTTTTTCGTATGTAAATTGAATTAGAAATATAATATTTACATAGTAAGATTGTTAAATGGGTGGGCCGACGGTAATTTAATACAATGAAAAATCTCGTTTAATTTTTGCGCCGTTGTTGTTCGTCTTCTTAATATTTATTCAATTACCTATATCTAAAAAAAAAAAAAAAAAACTTACCTCTTGCATCATTTTAAAAAGTATGAAAATTTTTTTGAAATCATATAAACTAGGAAGTTCTACTAATATTTCATTTTTCTTTTTTTCTTCCTGTACATACCAGAACTTGCTTAATATGTTTCTGTATGAGTGTGTAGATCACAATTATATTTCATTTGTCAATATTGATAAACGATTATTTAAACATAAATATTAGGCATACGTTATATACATATATCAATGATTTCATGATTTTTGTTTATTAGCAAACATACGAATTTTAGAGGATGCAAAATTAATAAGGGTATTTTCTTTCTATTAATTTTAAAATTTTAGTAACTACACCTGCATCGATCTTTCTTTAACTATTTATTTCTTTTACACTATTTTGTCAATGTACATAATGTATGAAGGAGTGTATGCACTAAGATATTTTCATCATAATTTCTGAATATTACGGTGAATTTACTTATTTATATCGTGATATTATATCTTTATAGTTTTGTGCATATGCTTCATGGAAAAAATTACAACTATACTTTAATATTTAATGATTTTCGCTGATAATTAATTTGGAATGTTTGAGTTTTTACATTTGCACCTTTTTCTTACTTTTCATCTCAAATTTGTTACTTTTTCTAACGATACGAAAGTTCTTTATATTAAAATTGTGAAATACTATGCAGTTTAAAAGAAATTATATTATACACAATACATTATTATTTACTCGTAATAGTGTTAAATTATAATTTAAGTTTGTGAGGTACTTGCTATAAAAACTTTGTGAATATCTTTCTGAAATAATTAAATATTTTGAATAATTTTTATTAGTGTACGTATTAACATTTTTAATAATAGCAATGTTATTTTTCAGTGCAAATGAAAATTCGTTGCTCAGAATAGGAAAATTTTTTTTTAAAAAATCTTTGAATCTATCATTTTAATCGAATTACAAAGAAACTTTCGTATCATTAAGTTTATTTAACTTTTCCTATACTTATTGGTGCACGGGTTTGTTTAAAATTACTTTGCGTACTTTACTTTTAATTAAATTGATCGATTTAATTATAATATCAGTCTAAGATGCATCAAGCGAGATACTTTGTAGTATAAGTAATCGGATTTGAAGGTTCAATTCTAAAAGAATTAAGTAAATCGAAATGTATCACTCTATTTTCTAATTCTTAGAGTGCGAAATTTCAATTGATTTGTTCGAATTATTCCAACGCTTGATTTTCGATATGGAAATGATTTATTTGTTGATTGGCAGTAAATGTTGAATAGTGTAAAACAAATTGCATACTTATTTATATTTTTAATTTAATATTTCTACTATATATGTATATATATATATATATATATATATATATATAATTGTATATGTTTTTTCTAAATTTGTTAATACTTTAATAAATGTTAATATTTAATAAAATTGTAGGGCTAATGTAATTTTATTATTTGAGTAACGAATGAACAGTTTACAGAAAAATAATTTCATTCTTTGTTCAAGTCATTTTCTCTTCACAAATTGTTTATAGGACAATTTGGCACAGGAAATATATATATATATATATATATATATATATAATATTCTTTTCTTAATAGTTGCATTAATTAACGACTGTTAAATTTTTATTCGAGAATATTTGTAAATATATTTTATGATTTTTTATTAATATCAATAATATTGATATTAGTAAATGGATTAAATCTATTGTTTTTACTGTAAAATTCGGGTTAGCAAAATTTGGTTTTGAAATATTTATTTAACTCAGAAAGATTTTATCACCAATGCATGCGTGTGTGTATAAATTATTATAATTCTTATATTAAAGTATAAAATAATGCAGTTTTAAAATAAAGTCTTTGAGGGTATTTTTGACTTACATATACACGAAAGAATCATTTTTGCTTTAATAAAATTTATTGTATAAGAATTAATTAAGAGAAAGTAATTGATATCGAAGATTCTCAGTAAGAAAAGGTGATAGTTAACTGCAGATAGTCTTTGTGTATACTACAAGTAAATAGTTGTAAATGATGACCTGGTACATTTAAAGAATTGTCTAAAAAATAGAGAAATTTTTAAAAATATTCTCCCTAAAATCGTTTCCCTCCATTTCATGAGATTTATCTCGATGATAATTGATTAAGGTTGTCGAAGAATTGATATTTTCTCTTCATCTTGAAAATGTCGGCGCATGTGAAACAAACAGCATTACGAAATTGTATAATTATTGGTCAAATTTTCCTATGAAAAGAAACGATCGATTGAGGAACTTGTTTAACATTTGTTCTTCAATTGTTTATATTTTCAACTGATCTTTGCTATTTTTACTCGTTTCGTACACTTCCATGCTCCTTCTGCTCTCGGCTATTTCTTTCAATCTTCCTGTAGCAAATGTCGTATTTTTATATTTAGCTCTTTTTAAAAATGCCGCCGGGAGAAATGTGCCTTGATGGTTACGTGAAATTGCGATGGCTTGTTCGCGTTTAACGAGATCAGGAAACGCCGTAGGCACAGGCAGAATTATCAGGTGGACTGATTTTTTCTACGGGTAGAACTGCAGCCTTTTGCCACTCATCTCTTACCTGTAAAAAATTATCGACGAAAGATATTAGAGGCGATCTTTCCACTTTATGTTGTTAAATTAGCAATTATGACTTTGAAATTCAATAGAATTGATCGATTTTTTTTTTCACCATAGGTTTAGTTCGATTACTAATGTATTATGATATGTTTCACCTAACAATATTACATGCCATGAATTAAATTATCAATTTTGTTATTCAGAAGCCACGTTCGCAGCTATTGTTTTATTAATTATCAAATAGAAGAAATTATGACTATATACAATTAAGACGGTGAAAGTAAATTATCTATATTTTTTTCCGAAGAGTTTGTTGCGTTATTATTAATATCATTTAAATCTATACCACAATTAAGTTAATTTTCAGTAATTGTAAAATCTTATTTACAATGTTATTACCTTTGCATAAAATTCAGTTAAAATAACAAAAATTATACTGAAATGCTTTTCATACCTAAAATATCAAACTGTTATGTAATAAGTTTGGAGAAATATGAAGTTCATAGTAAACTTTCTTCTTGGTTTCTACTTATTCGTTGGTTTTCAAGCACTAGCTAAAGATATTTATATATTATATACTTATATACTTATAGATATTTATATTTATATACTAGCTTAAGATATTTCTCGTTAGTTAACAACGATACGTATGTAAATTTAAAAATATCTTCAAGGAATTGAGTGCTATAGTAGAATTTTATATTACTTATATGACTGTATATCGTATTACAGTTGTAAGAATTTTCTACTTCAACATTTTAAAATAAGAAATTCATATAATCAAATAATTAGGCGAATATTCTAAATATTTGTAAAGCCATGGCATTTAAAATTGAATATATTAGTACTTTATGCTTTCAAAACTTTTATACAAGTATTTGAGCTGGCATATTATATTAGTAGATGAAAGCACAATGTATTTTACATGCAGCATTACGCATTAATATATTATAATGCAGTATTGGATATGTAAATTTACAGTACTTTTTATTTCAAATAGAATTAAAAAAATAACCTCAAATACCAATTATATCTTATTCATATAGTTTTTCATCGTTTAACTGCCAATACTAAATTATTCAGTTTCATTACATGAATTCAGTTAACAGAATATCCATTTTTTTTTTTTTTTTTTTGAAAAATTAAAAAAAAAAATCATACTTAATGTCATTATTTGCCTATTTCATGTCTCATCTACTAACGATTTGTTTAAGCTCACGTCTTTCAGCACTTGTTTTAACAATTTTCCTAATGCTATTGACTCTGTCTTTATCGAATTGTGCATACTTCAGCCTTTGTTCTATTACCTGCTCGACTTTACCAAAGACCCGTAGGACATTGAGGCCAGCCAACTTTTTTATGTCCTCCTCGGTCCACGTTGGGTCTTCGAGCAACGTTGCTAGTAGTTGTGGATATCGGGACACATCTTCCAGACCCGTGGGCGTGCTGCGGAAGCCGAGAAATAAATTAAAATTAGAACAACCCCTATGCAACCGTAGAAATTAATAATGGAAAAGTGTTTGCAATTGTCTGATCCTTTAGAATTTTAAATATTCTTCAATCGTCAACTTATAATTAATATTTAAATAATGATGAGGACGATTAGGACATACTGAACGATACTTCAGAATGTATGTCAGTCGGTAATTTAAACAAATTAAACAAATTAAATATTGTCAGATTTATTTTATGAATTAAGACCATAATTTCACGTATTAATATGATCCATAATAGTATCAAACTGAATATTTTCGATATATAACAGATATAATTTTATTCGCGACATCATTGCAATAGGATTGTTAAATTTTATAGACGAATGATCAATGCGGTATGTTGTAAAATTTATAAACGCTATTATAAATGTTATAATTTCATGACCTTAGATATTCTATAAATAGTTCACTAAAGTTGATTGTACAGTATATTTAATAATCGCTTTTACTATTATTTCTATCCGAGTATAAAATTTTACGTTATTTGATCAAAGCTAATAGTCGTTACTTTTTTATTAAAAATTTTCTATATGGTTTCAGCCTTAATAAATGTAAGTGACAGCATCATGTTAATATGCAGACTACTGAAAAAAAAAGACTTTAAAATATAAGCAAATTAAGTGAGAAATTCAATATTTTTAATTTTTGTATATATACATGATTTATTAGTATTATAGCAGAATTAAAATATTCAAATTATTTTCTTACTATTTTTGAGCTGTGTAAATAATTCTCATAAATTAGTTTATTGTTTATTTCGAGTTATAATGAAAAATTGAATTAACAAATAGAAGTTGTATTTCCGTTCACTTTATTTCCTGTATTTTAACATTTCCGTCGCAATAAATATTTTAGGTGTACTTGTTGCATATGTATATTATTATTTGTTAAACTTGTTAAAAAAAGTTTTTTGGATTCATCGTTCATACATTTTTTTTTTTTTTTTTGAAAGTAATTTCCTTAAATAGGTGAATATGTTTGTAAAGCAATTTTCTTAAAGTAATATTTCCATATTTATATTATAAAATTCGAGAACTTTTGTACTTGCAGATAGTCTTTTTCGACGGCTGCTTTTTAATAATAAAATTTATAATACGTGAAAAGTAATTGCATTTCTATAAACACTTTTCCCTAATATATATGATCATCATTATCTTAATGATAGAGTAGGTAAAGAAGTACTGATAGTTACAAATTTATTCCGTCGAAGCCAGCACCAATGCCAACATGATCGATGCCAGCCACCTTCCGTATGTGATTGATGTGCGCTGAAATAGAACAATTTCTGTCTGTGTATGCGAGTGCAATTTCAATTTTACCAATGACAACCTATTTTCCATTATTTTCACCCTATTTTTTTTTTTTTTTTTTTTTTTTTTTTTAACACATAACTTACACATATACGATATAGTATTGCAAAGGGATGTTTTTTTTTCTTTTTTTTTCCCCCCTTTTTTTTTTTTTTTTTTTTTTTTTTTTTTAACACATAACTTACACATATACGATATAGTATTGCAAAGGGATGTTTTTTTTTCTTTTTTTTTTGTTGCGAAGAGTGTAGAAGTGAAGTGGACTATCGTTTATCGGAAGGACAACGGTTGTCCAGAGATTTATATTTAACTGTAGGAAAATCTCTACGCTTCTTAACGATTCATTAACGTTCGATCTAAAGAAGTGGTAGCGTGTGATGCTGTTTCAGCTCTTGACAATCGTTTCGCAACCCGAGATAAGAGGTGGCACCAAGTGCTATGCTTTAAGTACGAGGCCATTGTTTTCTCTTTTACGATATTTCGTACATACTTTTAAGCCGCGATGGAGGCATTTGTTATGTTTGATTATGCCGGTAGTTTTTTTATTCCTTGACGCTTTTTTATCGCACCCTCTTCATCCTCAAATGTATCATTGAGTTCTTAAATTTTTTTAAAAAATATGACGTGTTTATAAATTCGCCATTTTCATATGTTAGGAAACATATATAATATGAAAATTGGATATCTATTTGTTTTTGAAATACTACATGGCATTAATGGAATAATAACACTTCGAATTGACAATCTTTTCATAGCCTATAATTATTCGCATGTACTTTCATTTTAATTATAATCTTTTAATTTGATTAAGAACTCACTAATTACTTTACTTATAATATAAATATTATATAGATAGCTTTATTAGTACTAAAAATTTGAAAGCTTTTCTAATAATATGCATTAAATATAGTTAAATCTCATAAAAAATATAAGGATAAAGATAAATTGTGATATTAATCAACCCATTAATTGTACTAAATACTGTTATTACAGATGTTTTTAAACATTATATGTAACATGATAAGAGCTGACTAATATTTTTTTTTATCGCCGTATAAGGTTATTTTAAGAGTGACAGAAGTTATGCTTCTATAATTTACTATAATAGCATAAATAATTAAAATAAGTAATTTAAATGAAGCTCTGTTTAACTAAATATAATTATTGTATAAATATTGAAGTGTATCATATAATGGCCATTTTAATGATTTTTAATTTTTTTTTTTTTTTTTTTTTTTTTTTTTTTTAAATTGTAAAATTTAATTCACACTATGTAACGATATAAATAATTAAAAAATCAATGTTAAAATTAAACTCAAACGTAAAATAATTGGATTTTTTCATTCTTTTTATTTTTTTTATTAACTATAATTACATATCAGGTGTATTGACTATGAATAAATTCAATTTATACAATTGTCATTTTATAATTATGACCTGCATTCTATTTTTTGTAACTGCTACTTTTCCTATCATATATATATATATATATATATAAATATTCTTTGCATGATGCTTACAGCACTTAAAAAAGCTTTTAAAAGTTAAAACAGTTATTCTAAATTAAACTATTTCGTATTATAAATGAAATTTAAATTATTTTTATTGTAAGTTGAAAATTTTAATGATTTTCATTTGATTAATGAAAGGGTAACTTGTAAACAGTCACGGTATATTAACAACAAGTAAGAAAAACTTCGCGAGTGTAAAAAACGTATAATAAATTTTTAACTGGTTTTATGAAATTGTTTGAAAAATTATAGAATAAGTTATTCAGTCAGTGAAAAGTTTTCTTTATCATTTATTAACTATTTTAGTATACTATTTAAAGCTCATTATTAAAAGCTATATTTAAAGTTTTAAAATTAAAAAAAGTTATTTAAATTAATGTATGGAATTTCATTTGAAAGCATTTAACATTTTATAATTAATTTATATTTTACACCAGTATTAATGAAGAAATTTTCTAAGAGGTGATTTTGTCAAGTAATCTGAACGAGACGGAATAGCCTTTAATATCGTAATAATATTTCATTCATTATATTTATTATAAATATAGCTATTTCTTCAAATGTATTTTCTATTTTATTTGAAATTCTTCGAAAAGAGAAAACTAACGTTACCAGATTGGTCGAATAAAAAAGTGATGCTTACCAATTACATCCTTAATTGTTGCCGAGCTATTGCACGTGATGAAATAAGTATAAAAAGGGACCATAGCTATTCCGCCATTTTTTGCCTGCAATAAAATAACAAATACAAACGATATAATTATTATACATTATTATACAACAATTATTATACATTTTATGAATTAATGAACTAATTCGGGACTTTAAGCGAACAAATGTATACGAGATAGAATTTGTAAGTTTCGTCTTACAAGACTATTCTGGTGTATTACATTTTATATATTTAAAAGATCTTATTAATTTATTTTTTAATTGTCACTGTTCATTTGGAAAAATTTTTTTTAAAGTCTTAACGCAACATTGGCAATTGTTATTAATGGTATATTATCCAAAGTAGATTAAAAATTCATTTCAATATTAAAGGAGCGTGTCTTTATCACTTTATATATTTTGGTAAGGAAGTTGAAAATTGCTAACTTTGATCAATAATTGAAATTTACGCATGGAATTTGAAAGAATCAAAAAGTAAAATTTCACTTACGGAAGTTTATCCAGTCATCGTAGACTAAAATAAAAGTGTCATAAATAAAAATGGCTTATAAATAAAAACGTTTCTAAGTTTTTGAAGAAAAAGGTTGTTTGCATCGACCAACGACTTTCCCCCTAACTTTATAAAAATAATGAAGCGTTAAGGCACAGTAGGGGACTTAATTTCGCAAGTTTGCCGCAGTAATAAAAAAGTAGTTTTTGAGTCAATTTATAAATCATCGATTATCGACCTATAATTTGTTAAAACGGAAAATATCGTAATTTTCAGTGGGCGAGCAGCATTCCTCCCTAGTTCTCCGCACTTCCTGAACGCTTGACAATGGATGCGGCAATAGTACAACGAGCGTAGCCTATTCATAACCTTCAATTTTCAGATTATTCAGAAATGCATGGCCATCGCATTGCCCCTTGCCATTTGTGTACCAACCTTAGCGCGAATACAATTCCCCATACGAGTACTTGATTAGTGCTTTGTCAAAAGCTTATGAACCTTTGTATTGCTCGTAATTTTATTTATTTTACAATTACGAGCCTTGGCATATGGAATATGAACATTTGCTTCGAGCGCTACTAATCGTTCGTCTGACTTTTTCATTCTTTAATTAATCGGATCCGTTGTTATATAAATCCTTTATTATGCATTTAGTTTAAATTTTTCTTTGATTTTTTCGTATTCCAATGTTCTTTAGGTATACGGTATCTTTTTCGATAGTTCGACATATTGACATCATTTTATTTTACTATTTCACATTAGATATATTTATTTAAATTGTATTGCAAATCTAAAAATATAATGCTTCTATGTAATAAAATTTACAACTATGTTTTCCATTGGCACAACCAAGCCTCCGATTAACACACATATTTCTAGAAGAGATTTTTTCTAGAAACAAAAAAAAATTGTAATATTTAGTTTTAAAATACTAGAAATTAATAAATTAATCAAATTATGTTGTTTTTGCTTATATTGTTAAATGATAGTTTTATACGTAATGTAAGATTGCAAGTATCTTCGGATGCTTTTAAATTGAACGCATGCCACTGCACTGATTGCCCCAGCATAAGTTACGCGGTATTGCACAGCTCTCAACAAATTTGTCATACCTATCTACGTAACTAAGAGCGTTAGTGTCAATGAATTGACTAAGTGGACCGTCTTTCCTAAAGATAGATCAGGACAAAGGGCAGCGAAAGTGGAAATTAAGGGCCTGCGGTTGGGATTGTCAGGCGAGTATTCGAACGCGGTGGTTACCACTTTGGTTATTAGTCGTGACGGAGGCTTACCGATAATAGATTAGATCGTTGGATTTTGTTACTTGCGATAGTTTAAGTACGAACTATCAGAACAAGCGAGATGAGTTATAATTGCGTCGATGCGAATACGTCGACCAAAACTACTGTCTTGGAAGTTTCTGTAGCCATTCACGTCAATGATTCTTAAGAGCTTCCGTAAGAAGTTTCAAGGAAACTTGTCTTAAAGTGCAGTAAAAAGTATCGGTTATAAAAAGAAACGCGCCTATCAATGGCATATAAGTTAATACTTCAAGTTGCAATTATTAACTACTAAATCAATAAGAGGAAACTTTTAGAAATATTCATTTTTATTCATGTGTATATATATATATATATATATATACACAAATTTTATACATACCTATGATATTATCTCTTACGAAAAATAAGAGTTTAGATTAAACAGAAAAAAATTTCAATGATATTTTGAAAATCTATATTTTAATTTTTAATAATTAAAGAGCTTTTTTTTTTCAAGGAAATTTTAGAATCGAATGATCCTTTATATCAATGGAATGTTCTTTCTATACCAAAATAAGTTTTCAAATAAATCAAGTTTTCGCATAAGTATAACTTTCCTAAAGCCATTTTTTAAATCAAAACAACCCGAGTTTAGTGTATTTCTTATAAAAGTGCTTTCATGCAGTTACAATCGTTTACATAGATAACTTTTTGATATGAGAGAAATTCGAGTGCCAAAACAGACCGAAGTATTGTAAACAAATTTTAAGGTGAAATAGTTTACAATATATAAAGAGTTATGGTAAAACATATTTGCGAAATACTTTTAGCACATATAAATATATGTAAAAATATATTATAAATAAATTTTATAAATTCTTTAACACAATTATAAGTTTTTCCTTCAATATCATTGGTTTTCTTTTTAGATGGCGTTACTAATTGTTAAATCTATGAAGCTTATTTTAATAGGATCTATTGTATATTTATTTATATTTATTTATTTATATTATATGAACTAATATTTAAAATGGTATGTATTCCTTATGATGGCTACTAAAAATCATTACTAAAGTTTTATATAAAAAGTTTTATATATCAAATTAAATTCAATAAAGAGCTAATATAATTAGAAAGAATAATATGAGAAATAAGTAAAAATTGCATAAACGTATGTTTCATATCATATAGTTTTCTATATGTGTATCGCACTCAAGGCATTTATAAATTTAGAAATTAACAAATCAAAATAATAAATCAATTAATTAACGAATCAATGTCTCGATTTAATAAATCAATTAAGCCATTGATATTATTGTTTACGAGATAAATATCTACTACGTAAACAATCTATGCAATTAATTTTGTCTATCAATGTTACGAGCCATGTAAGTGTTAATAAGCTCAATACTCTCAGTATTATCTCATATTAATGTTATGAAATCATTTAAATTACCAGTTTATTGAAAATATCTTTACAAAATATTGTAGTTACTGCGTTAAATATGCGTGAAATCGGTAAAAGGACTGGCAATAACGTTTGCCATAATGTCCTGAAGGTAGAGGATCAATGTGCGTATCACAAAGGTGATCATAATCGTATTACGTATGTGTATTACAGTGATTGCACTAATCCGTGATTATTAACTAACTTACAAATCTACTAGTTTTAGTGACTTTGTATTATGATAATATCTGAATATGGATGCTTTAATCTTGTTTTCTTAAATTTAAAGCATTGTTGCGTACAAAGTAAGTTGACACTTTAGTTTCCATTCACTGGCGCATTATACGTAAGTTATTTCTTTAAGAACTTTCTTCGGTGTTTCAAATACAAACGAAAAGATTAGCCAAGTAGTCAAATTATTAAGAAAAGAAGATAATTTTTAGAATCATTATCTGCCTGTCAGCCTTGTATGAAGCTATCTATAAGCTATGTATAAGTTATGTATAAGCTATGTATAAAGCTATGCCTACAGCTACGTATATGCTACGATTTTGAGATTATGAAAATATTCTTTATTAGAAAAAAAAAAAAAATAAAAAAAAATAAAAAAAAAATTAATGTAAAAATGATGATTAAACTGCTTTTATATACCATATAAATGTATATAAATACTTACTAGTTCCTCGTAAAAATGTTAGCAAAATAATAATTCTTAATACATCTGTTATTAACAATATTCTTAGAGCGTAGTATAAAATTTTTTTATATAAAGCTTGTATATGGTTGCATTGTATTTCATGCATTTACACCAGCAAAAAAGAAAATAAACAAAAAAAATAATGATGGATTGATTTAAATAGATGTTTGTATCTAATATTGTGCAAAGAATAAAGCATATTTACTATCTTACATAAAAATTATCAATTAATGTCTATAATATATACTTATATATTTTGCACATAAATTGATAAAATAAATGGTTTTTGTCGAAGTATATTTTGGTAAAAATTACCTTTACTTTAATTTAAAATACTCGTTTAGTTAAAAACGAATTTTCTATACATTTATGATTACTCGACTGAAATTATTGAAGCATAAAATGTATAATGTATATATTCTTTATTAATATATTTCATATAACTTTTGTACATGCATATACTTTATTATAAAATACGATTTATGACTTTTACAAGTGAAACTTTTCAAATTGTACGAAAACTCGTAAAATAGAAAGAACAATTCTGGAAATTTTGTTCATGTAGAGGAAAACGGAAAACATGCATGCACAAATCCAAGTAATATTCTAAATTATACGACCAGCTAAATTCTATGTACATAAAACTATTTTTCTTCACAGTTTAATATTTGAATTATGTTACATTTATATAAATTATTAAAATTCTGTTACAGATTGTTTGGCTACATCATAATAAATTGAAATATCAATATTTTGATGGATTTATTAAATATTGTATATAATTCAATGCATATAATAATAAAAATCATTCCAAAAGTTTTTCGTAATCTTATATAAAATATAAAGGAACATAAGTGTAATTAATAAAAATTAACAAAATACTATTTAATAAGGATAAGAATTTTTATGTTTACGAATATCCTATTTATTATTTATTAAAATAATATTCAATCTGAAAGCTGCTTTATATTTGAAACTAATTATTTTGAAAATATAATTTGAAACTTCTAGAATTTCTGAAGTCGTTAATGGAATTTAGTGATATAATTATATTACGTCTATATACTTACGTATTCGTTTATGAAAATCTTAATCACAAGTTAGTTACTGTAGTTTTAGATCTCTGTTGTTAAGTAGCTTATTACCAGAATTGATAAAAA